ACAGTGCTGCCTGCTTTGTCCAGATGACAGTGGGTTTGTTGAAGCAGGTGTATGATGGTGTCATCAACTCCAACTTCACGACGATAAGGAAACTGCAGGGGGTCCTGATGTGTGCTTGTTTGCTTACTCAGGTGGGTCAACATGGGTCTCTCTGTCGCCTGCTGGTCTGGGTGGAAGTTCACGTAGATGTACTCTGGTTTCCACTTACAGACAAAAACTTGCACGAGGATAACTGTCAGCTATAAATTGTTCTGAGGTACAAGTTAAAGTACGAATTGTTGTGTCTCATTTGTGTTTGTAGCCCTGTGAGGGACCTGGGACGTGTCCAGAGTTAAGCCCCGCCTTTCCTGGAGTGACTGCTGGAGATAGGCACCAGCTCCCTGCGAGACAAAAGAAAAGTGGTTATAAAAAGTTTTATTGTGGAAAATTTCGGGTTTTATCCACAATCAGTAATATTTCACAGCATGATTGCAGGAATTAATCTTCATCTGCTGACACTCAGACACTCCTCCAGCAMTGGAGACATGCTGAATGACAATAAAAGAAAGATGACTTTTTATCAACATTATAAATTATGTAAACTTTACACATCACATATTTTTGTATTTATTGGATGTTAGGAAGTTGGAGTTGTTCCATTCCACTGTTATCAATAAGCTGCTCAGGATGATAGAATGAGACAAAGTAAAGATTCAGCACAATCTGTTGGCTTCCTTAGATTTTTTTGGCTTCCTTAGATTAAAAAAAACATTTTACTAAGTGACATTTTATAATGTTTTTGTACAGTGCCCTGAGATGACTTGAAGAAGACTAAAGCCCTAGACATACTGTATTATGTTTCTTATGAAAATGTTGACTCTCTTCACCTTTGCACATTTTCTGTAGTCTCTGTCTCTGTAGTTTGTTCAGGGTATCCAAATGTAAGGAATTACTAGACTGGCAGAGGACGTACAGTCCTTATGGAAAGGTACCTGTACAATATCCTGCTGTCACAATAGAGGCAAGCAGGACATTGCTCTCTGAAGTTGATGAAGCTAATGACAGAATCCTGACCTTTTTTAGTTTGCCTTTGCTTGGTGAGGTAATCAAAAAAACAGTCCCTTGTTCTTCACTTTGCTTTGTACAGAGGGTCTGGACTAACTGCTAGAGGTAGGTGGATCAATCCTATTATTGATAATATTTGAGATCCATTGAGACAGTGGACTCTTACAAGTACCTGGGTGTTCACCTCAACAACAAGCTGGACTGGAGTACAAGTACAGACGTCTTGTATAAGAAGGGCCAGAGTCGACTCCACCTACTCAGGAGACTGAGGTCCTTCGGTGTCTGCAGGACTCTGCACTAGCTTGACTGAAATTTCAAGATCCTGAGGACAAACCCCCTCCTTCTTCTTAGCAATCTGAGGGCTATTAGTGGCCTTTTGTTAGACAAATTGCTGCAGGTAATCCAGACACACCCACCACGCCTGATGATATTGTCACATTGTTTCTCAAGGGCTCTTGTTTACAAGTTTTTGCTCTGAAAATGTGGTGTGTTGCAAAGAACATACATTGATGCCACTTGTAGCGAATTACTCTATGAAATTAGGACCAGCCTAATCTTCACAAAGGTAATCCCTCAAGATC